CCATGTAAAAGTAGCTGCTCTTGCTTTCTGCCCAACAAGTTCTCCTCCCACGAAAAAACACAAAGGACCCGGTCCGGTTGCAAATAACAAGTTGAATGCGCAACAAGACAATACAACACACCAACCAATGAATGTTATCTGCAAAAAACTGTCATTTATTATGGTCTCAGGGACTTATGCATGAACATCTTCGCTGGGGAGAGAGCAGGGATTATCAACTTTCTTTGAGTGGAGAGGAGCAATCATAATTGAGAATGATCTCGAGAGGGAGAGGTTGAGGTTTGTGAGAAGCGCGTGAGTTACCCACATTACCCGTGAGTTTTTTAACGCCGATTTTACAGAATTACGTCTAATCTGCTGCAAAGCAATCAAAATAGCCTTTTGCGGATATTTTTACACAATCAGGATTTGTAGTCTATTGCATGTTGAAATATTCATAGTATTTCAAAGTTCTCTTTAATCCTTGAACTTAAAAGCTTATCAAATTTTTTGGATGGCAAAAATAGATAATCTACTGGTGAGGTAAAGTTGGAAAACCGCTTAAACTTTGAACAAGAGGAAACATCCTTAGAAAGGATAGCTTAGTATGCAATAGGATTTTCGAGACTAGACGATAAAATAAATTCACTATGTATGGCAAAAACGAGTCTCGTGGACCCCCCTCCCTCCCCTCCCCTCGTCCCCTTTCAAGGGATCAACACTCCTCTCGAAATATTTCCTTCCCATTGCAGTTAATTCTAACAAATAAAACTGTTTTTATACAGCAAAAAGATAATTCTGATAATCCATCCTCTCCGGCGGAGACGTCATTAAAAATGTAATAGAAAGGAATTGATTCACTCACAAGACTTTGATCAAACCAGAACATGAATCCGGAGATAAGAGTATTCACTAACGCTAAGCCAGCAAATGTGTATATGAGCAGAGGCCGACGTCCAATGCTTTCTACTAATCGTCCAGAAATCAATACACCTATCTGCAATGTGCTGTTTTACGAATTTTCTTTTGCTACTCCGAAATCCTTGTGGAAAGACAATAGGAAGGAGTACGAATGACCTATCCAGTTTCTGTTTACTGCCTAGGATCAAAAATAAGGATTAAGAGCTTCTGTACAATTTTTTGGTGATAAGAAAGAGATTGAACTTACAACGGCCATAACACAGATCACCATGTTGCCTAGCGAAGCTTCCAAAGCATTGAGACCTACGTTCATCAGAATCTCGAAGGCAAAAGCGTTGACAGCTGAAGAAGCGCTACCATATAGAGCCGAACTCTTTCTAATGTAAGAACAATGATAAATGCATACCTGCAACACCGCAAAGGATCGTGCCAGACATGATTCCAACACCGACAAGAAAACCACAAAGCCATTTCTTGTCCTATGCAAAAAAAAGAGCTTATGTTTCTTATGCTAGAAAAGACTTTTAAAAAAGCGTGATTCTTCCAATGGCAGGAAAATTTCAGAGATATATCGTGAAGCTATTGAAGAACCACTTCAACAATTCTGTTCTTATGCGGGTGAATGATTTATAGAAAATTCAATCTTAATTAACTACATACCGTGAAAATTTGAAAGAAGCCCACTGGCTTCTCTCCTTTGCCACCGGTATTCTCCATTGCAGCTAGCAGTGGTTGTGCTGCAGACTCGGTGATGCCATGATAGTAGACAATAGATTTTCGGGCTTCCTCGGTTTTACCTCGCGACATTAGGAAGCTTAAGTTCATCTCTTCAAATGCTATTGATCCTATTTCTATGCTTTACACAAACTGAGCGCATTGCCAAACCCTGACGCTAAATGATTGGGCGAAAAAACTAACCTGGGACTTTCTGGGCTAAAAAACATCAAAAAAGTAACAAGAAGAGTGAGAACTGCTTCCACGGCATATACTAGCCACCATCTATCAACTGTTCCAAATATCTGAAATCTACATTTACATGTGTTT